TAAAAGTGATGTGAGTGGAGCATCGACAGGCTGAATAACAAGTCTCTGCAGGTGATCTAAGCGTCAGATGGTGTACATAAAGTGTCAACAGCTAAATAAGGGATGACCAATGATCCAATTAATTGAGGCAGAGAGATAATTTAAAAAAATTAAAAATAAAGTGCTAGAGATAAACCAAATAGCTGGAATAACATAACAGGTATAAGAAACAGATGCCAAGGGTCTAAACCAAAGTAACAATAATCCAAAACAGTACAAATTAATTAAGGTAGTGAGATCATAAGTTATCAAGGTGATAGTGTCAAAACAAGATAGTAAGGAAGATCTTAAGATACAGAACAGTATGGTGGGGGTTACATGTAGTGAGACATGAACCGAAGATCTCGGTTAAGGCCGTCTTCATGGGTACGGAACTTAGCTATCAATTTCTGGTCGACGATTCTGTATTGTTAGGTGTTTCAAAGGCCGCCTTGGAGGACGCTTACCCAAAGATCTGAGGCTGAGTGTCCTTGACTGCTGAAGTGTTCCCCGACTGGGTGCGAACGTCCCTGTCTGGTGATTGTTACATGGTGTCCATTCACCTGTTGTCATAGCATCTGCAAGGTTTCGCCAATATCCCATGCCTTGGGGCATCCTTGCCTGCAGCGTATGAGGGAGACAACATTGGCCCAGTCACGAGTATCTGCCACGTACATGGTGGATGGTGTTCCCGTGTGTGAGATGGTAGTATCCATGTCGATGAACTGGCATGTCTTGCAGAGGTTGCCGTGACAGAGTTGTGTGGTGTTGTGGTTAATGTTGTCCTGAAGGCTGGGTAGTTTGCTGCCAACAATGGTCTGTTTAAGGTTTGGCAGCTGTTTGAAGGTGAGAAGTGGAAGTGTAGGGATGATCTTGGCGAGGTGTTTGTGGTCATTGATGACATATTGACATAGTTTCTCTGCTCCAGGAAAGTACTGGATGACAAAGGGTACTCTATTGGTCATGTCCTATATCTGTCTCCTGAGGAGCTCGTTACAGTTTTTTGCTTAGGCACATCAGAACTAGCGATCAATCAGTTAAGCATTGTGTCCCATTCTTATGGCCGTGTCTTTCAGCATCACATTCCTCCTTGTCTGAGCAGATCTTGTATATATGCAGGGCTTGTCCATAGGGGATGACTTATTTAACCTGTTTAGGGTGGAAGCTAGAGAAGTGCAGCATCGTGAGGTTCTCCTTAGGCTTGCGATAGAGTGAGGTACTGAGGTGTCTGTCCCTGATGGAGATGTGTGTCCCCAAGAATGAGAGATTCTGAACAGTAGTTCATGGCAAGTCTGATGGTGGGATGAAACTTGGTGCGTAGTCATTTCAGTGATTCGTCGCCATGAATCCAAAGGAAGAAAATGTCATTGATGTATCTGGTGTATAAGCGTTGGTTGGAGTCCTGCTCAAACTTGTGCATGAAAATGTTGGCATATTGGGGTGCAGATTTGGTTCCCCTGGCTGTTCCGTGTGTCTGGATGAAGAGCTGACTGTCGAAAGTGAAAACGTGGACGAGGATGAAGCGGATAAATCATAGGATGGCATCTGGAAATTGGTAGTTGTTGGTATTGAGTACTGAAGCTGTTGCGGCGGTGCTGTTGTCGTGGTGGATGCTGGTGTAGAGTGCCAAAACATCCATTGTGACGAGGAATGTTCCTGGTTCGACTGGTCGGTGGATGATGAGTTTCTGCCAGAAGTCTGTAGTGTCGCGACAGAAGCTGGGGGTTCCTTGTACAATGAGTTTCAAGATGCCTCAATATAGCCAGAAAGCTTCTCACACAGGGTCCCGTTGCTTGATAGAATGGGATGCCCAGTTGTTAAGTCTTTGTGTATCTTTCGAAGGCAGAAGTCTCCGATGCAAGAAGTACATGCAATGAGAGTGCATAGGATACTCTGGAGGTCTGGGTCAAAGGTATTGATCAGTCTGTTGCATTGATGGGTGTGTTCTGTGGTCAGATCGGCAGGTAATTAAGATTAAGAATAGAAACAAGGAAATTTTATTTTACACAAACCCATTTTCTAAGACTTACAATGTGCCAGAAGTGTTATGACACCAATGGAGATGTACTAAACATTTAAGACGATGTTAGATTGGTCAAACAAAAGGGAGGATAAAAGAACCTGGAAATGTGGCATGCCTGATGTATCAGGGCTGTCACCAGTGGGTGAGCAGAAACACCAACATTGCTTCCATGGTTATAATTTGTATTTGGTATTACTGTATATTGATCTGCACTCCTTGTTCCCTAAATTTTTTAACAGTTCTCTTTTAAAAACATCAAATTTTACTTAAATTTATGAACTCATAGAATCCCTACAGTGTGGAAGCAGGCCATTTGGCCCAACAAGGCCACAGTGACCCTCCGAAGAGCATCCCACCCAAACCCACTCCCCTACCCTATCCCTGTAATCCTTTCTCATGGCACACCCCTGGGCACGATGGGCAATTTAACATGGCTAATCCACCTAACCTGCACATTGTCGGACTGTGGGAGGGGAAACAGAACATCCAACAGAAACCCATACAGACACAGGAGGAATGTGCAAACTCCACACAGACAGTTGCCCAAGGATGGAGTCAAACCCTCTCAGGTCCCTGGCGCTGTGAGACAGCAGTGCTAACCACTGAGCCACTGTGCAGCTCAAAAGAAATCCACATTCTAAACATGCTCCATCTAACTATTTTTCAGCACTCAATGTACTACTCCACAATTGTTGTAGGAGATTCTCCAAACTGAATTCAGGATTTCTGTTGTAAAAGGCATTAAGCAAGGAGAGGATGAAATCTGAGAGTAAGCTAATTAACAAAAGAAGAGTGCTATAGACGAGGCCAGGACCCCCAAAGTATAGTATGGAGGTCGACTAGACCCTACCTTTAGTATTTTTTAAAGACAAGTGTGAGGTGCTGAGTTCCAGATATGATTCGATTGGTCCACCACTAAGCTTTAATAAACATAGGAACATAGGAATTAGGAGCGATGGCAGGCAATTCAGCCCTTTGAGCCCGCTCTGCCACTTAACGTGATCATAGCTGATCTTATCTCAGTCTCAACACACTTTCCTGTCCCCCATAGCCCTTTATCCTGCTTTTCATCAGAAACATATCAATTTCTTTCTGTTGATTGATTCTCCCTCCACTACACTCTGGGGCAGTGAGTTCCACAGATTCACAATCCTGAGAGAAGTACTTTCTCCTCATCTCAGTTTTGAATCTACCTCCTGTCACTCTCTTATCTATGATCTCTTGTTCAAAACTGTCCTACAAGGGGGAACATCTGTTCAACGTCCAGCTTATCAATCCCTTTTAGCATTTTATATACCTTAATCAGATCCTCCCTCATTCTTCCGAACTCGAGAGAATACAAGCCCAAGCTATTCAACTGCTCCTTGCACAACAGCCCTTCCATCCTTGGAATCATTCTGGTGAACCTACTCTGAACATCCTCCAGTGCCATCACATCTTTCCTCAAGTAAGGAGGCCAAAACTGGACACAGTACTTGAGATGTGGTCTCACCAATGCCTAACTGTAACACCACTTCTTCACTTTAATACTCCAGTTCTTGTGCAATAAATGCCAGAATTCCATTTGCCTTTATTATCTGGTGTACATGCATACCCAACTTTTGCAATTCGTGACAAGGACACCCATGTCCCCCTGCACTGACACACTTTGATTCTGCTTCCCATTTAAATGATTTGCCCTTTTATTTTTCCAGCTAAAATGGACAATCTCACATTTATTTACATTAAACTCTTTTTGCCAGATTCTGGCCCATTCTCCTAGTCTATCAATATCCATCTGTAAACTCTATCTCTTCATCACAGTCTGCTTGCCAAATATTTTAGTATCATTGTGGATTGTAGTATGTTACTCTGTTCCTGCGCGCAGATCATTTATAGAGATTGCAAATACTGGAGGTCCGAGAAGCCTGCGACACCCCGTTAGTTACAGTTCACCATTCCTAGAAGGATTTATCCCGACCCTCTGCTTTCTGCCAATCAGCCAATCATCTATCTAAGCCATTACTCTACCTTAAACCCCCTGGAATCTAACCTCCTGGTGGCACCTTGTCAAATACCTTCTGGAAGTATAGATATACCTCATCCACCAGATCCCCATTATACACCTTGCTGGTTATATCCTCAAAGAACTCCAGCTAGTTTCTCAAGCATGACTTGCCCTTAACAAACCATGCAGACACGGGTGAATTGAGCTTTGTTTTTCCAAGTGTTCACTTATCTTCTCTTTTATGACTGATTCCAGTAACTTCCCCACTACCAGATCAAACTAACTGGTCTATATTTCCCACTTTTTGCCGATCTTTTTTGAATAAGGGTGTCATATTAGCATGTTTCCAATCCACTGGTACCTTTCCAGAATCCAGGGAATTTTGCAATATCATAACTAGTGCACCCACTATCTCTGCTACCATCTCCTTTAATAACCTAGGGTGCAGGCCATCAGGCACTGAGAACCTATCTACCTTTTAATCCCATCAGTTTACTTAATACCTACTTCCTAGTTATAGTAATTTCACCAAGTTCCTTTGTAGTAACTGCAGTTTTTAGGAATAAATTATCTTCCATTTGAAAACAGACAAAATATTGGTTTAGTGCTTCTGCCATTTCTGAGTTTCCCATTATTACCTCACCATTTTCGTACTCTAAACACACTTCATACTTTTAACACAGTTAAAATACAAGGAAGAATGGGCATAATTTTATTCTCTGGAAATACTTAACAAGATAATGTATTATTTAACCACTAATCATCAACTGTTCCAATATAGGCAATATCCCATAAACACAAATGCAAAAATGCAAATCAGCAAACATACAGTTACACAATTATTCATTGCCTGCCGTGTTCCTCCAGCTCCACACTATGTTATCTATGAACTATTACTAGTTTTTTTTACACATATGAAAGGTGAGAGAGAGTGGAGAAATAGTAATGGAAAACAAAGAAATGGTCGAGGAACTGAATTGCAGAAGACAACAGCAGCATACCTGGACTTCAAGAGAGTGTCATGGCCATCACTAAGGAGAAGGTGCTGGAGAAGCTGAAAAGTCCGTAGGCGGATAAATTGCCCAGACCTGACAAATCTGTTAAAATTCTTTGAGGTCGTCATGAGTAAGTTAAACAAAGGCGAGCCAGTGGACATGATCTATTTGGATTTCCAGAAGGTTTCTGACAAGAAGCTGCAGAGGAACCTGCTAAATAAGATAAGAGCCCATGGTATTAGGGGCAAGGCACTGGTAAAAGATACAGGATTGGCTGCCTGGCACAAGGCACAGAGTCAGGAAAAAGGGGTCTTTTTCAGGATGGCAACCAGTGATTAACAGAGTTCTGCAGGGGTCAGTGTTGGGACCACAACTACTCACATTATACATTAATGATCTGGACAAAGAAACTGAGGGTATAGTTGCTAAGTTGCAGATGACACAAAGATAGGTAATAGAGGGACAGGTAATGTTCAGGAAGCAGGGAACCTGCAGGAGGACATGGCCAGGCTAGGCAAGTAAACAATGCTGGGGATAAAGGGCTTGACTTACGAGGAGTAGTTGAGGACTCTGGGTTTTGTATTCAATGCAGTTTAGAAGGATGGCGTGGGAGATGCCTGGTTGGAGTGTACATGGGGAAGTCTTTTTCCACTAGTAAGAGACTTACCCGAGGGTACAATCTCAGAATGAGGGGACAACCCTTTAGAATCAAGATGAGGAACAATTTCTTCAGCCAGAGAGTGGTTAATCTGTGGGAACTCATAGAAGGCGATGGAGGCGAAGTCATTGAGTGTATTTAAGACAGAGGTAGGTAGGTTCTTGGTTAGTAAGGGGATCATGGATTACTGGGAGAAGACAGGAGAATGGAGTTAAGAAACACATAAGTCATGATTAAAATGTGGAGCAAACTTGATGGGCCAAATGGCTAATTGTGTTCCTATATCATATGATCCATCCTGAAGATACTCCCTCTTTGGCATGACAAAACACTATCGGCTGGCTGGCAGTTAACAGACAATCAACTTCAGTTGCAGAATCCTGATGGTCTACTGATCATCATCAACTCCATCACGTCCAAATTCTGGAAGCTGTTTCTCGACCAAACTCAAAAAAAAATCCTGAGATTGTTTCATATTGCTCAAGTAGAACAAACAATATTTTGTAATGTCAACATACTTTCTGTTTAATATATTGCCCACTCTTCCAACAGTACATGGTCAGATAATGTCATTAAGCTCCCTTCAAGAAATAACACCATATCTCAAAACAGTGAGGCTCTTTGTTTAAAGCAGAATGCAAACGTGCTAGAGGCTGCTCAGAGGAGGTTTACTAGATTGATGACAGGAAGAAGTGTTTTTTGAAAGAAGATTGAACAGGCTGGGTATGTTTTCACTCTGGTTTAGAAGAACAAGGGCAATTTGATAAATTTAAGTTGATAAAATCCTGAATGGTCTTCACAGCTGGACACGGCAAGGATTTCCACTTTAGTGGATGAGTCCAGAACTAAGGGACATTGTTTTAAACTTAGGGGTTGCTCTTTTAGAGCACGAATGAGTATAATTTTTCTAAGGCTGTGAGACTTGGAACTCTCTCCCTTGGAAGGAGGTAGAAAATTAACTATTATTAAGGTGAAGGTGGACAGATTCTTGTTAGGCAAGGTAATCAAAAATTATCAGGAGTAGATAGGAATGTGAAATTCAAAACACAAACAGGTCAGCTGTGATCTTGTTCAATGGCAGAATAAAGGCTGGAACGGCTGTCTTCAGCTCCTTTGGTATGTTTGTTTGAATCTTGTTTTTAGATTGGATGAGAGGATCAATGTTGAATTATTGATAAGAAGCTCAGGATCAATAAAGCAGTTCAGTATCCATCATATCCCACTACACTAATACCAAAAATGTTAAAATTGGAACTTGGGTTTCAAATTATGATCATTTGATTGGCACAGCTTGAGTAGAATCATGCTGTTGTTTGATGTACCAGCTAATATCTGCTTTTTAATGTTTTGGTACATGTTTTTGTACCAGTTGATCTGTACCAAATATACTGGAGAAATACAGCAGGTCCAGAACTTCTGTAAACGGAAAACAGAGTAAATGTTTCACGTTAAGTGACCCTTTGTCGGAACTGAAGGTAGCTGCAGAAGGGTGGAATTTATGCTGCTTAAAGGGTGGTGTTGGGGCAGAAACTACAGTACATGGAGATTGAGCTAAGAGTGAGGGGGATAAAAGGGATAGGCAAACAAAGAGATTGATAAACCGAGAAAGAGATAATTGCTAGGTGGGGTGCTAATGAGAAGTGTAAATGTTTGAAAATGAGGTGGCTGCGTTGGGAGCAGACAGCACAGGACCTAAGGGGTGGGGGAAGGGAACAAACAAGGGACAGAGTGCTCACACTCTTGAATTGTTAAACTCGACGTTGAGTCCGAGGCTGTAAGGTGCATGGTGGAAGACAAGGTGTTGTTCCCCCAGCTTGTGTTGAACTTCACGGAAGCAATGCAGTAGACCTGATACAGGAATTCTGGAATGGGAACAATGGTGGTCTGCTGAAGTGACAAGCAACTAGGATAATTTTTAGGAACAGAACATAGGTTTTCTGCAAAGCAGTCACCCAGGCTGTGTTTAGTCACCCAATTGTAGAACAGACCACATTGTGAGCAGTGAATACAGCAGATAAAATTGAAGTGCAGGTAGATCATTGCTACACGGCTGGGGCCTTGGACACTGAGGAGGTATAAGGTAAATGGGCAAGCATACACCTTCTGCGACTGCACAGGAAGATGCCAAGGGGGTGTGGGTTTTTGGAAGTGGAGGAGTGATCAAGTATCCCAGAGGGTGTAGTCCATGCAGAATATGACAAGAATGAGGAAAGGAATCTGTGTCTAGTGGTGGCATCCCATTGGAAATGTTGGCTTTGATCCTTTAGATGCAGAGGCCGTTGGGTTGGAAAGTGAAGATCAGGGGGACCCTATCATTGTAGGAGGGGAGTGAAGGGGTGAGGGCAGAAGTGTAGGAAGTAGGTCAGACATGGCTGAGGATCCTGCCAACTCGAGTGATGGGCAATCATTGGTCGAGGAAAATGATGGACATTCCAAGGCCACCCCTGCAAAAGGTGGCATCATCAGAACAGATGAGTCGGACACAAAGAAACTGAGAATGGGATGGAGTCCTCACAGGAAGTGGGGTGTGAGGGCAGGTAGTCAAGGTAACCGAGGGAATTGCTGGGTTTGTAATAGATATCAGTGGCCACCCTACCCCTGGAAATGGAAACAGATGTAGAAGAAGGGGAGGGTGAGAACAGGATGGAAATTAGAAAGAAGATGGATAAATTTTTCCATTCCAGATGAGAAAGGGAAGCAGCCCTGACTGTCATCAATGTACTGGAGAAAGAGTTGTGGGGAAGGACCGAAGTAGGACTAGAACAAGCAATGAGACAAACATAACTGGGGCTCATGTGGGTATGCATGGTCAACCTCTGACCTGAAGAAAGTGAGAGGAAGTAAGGGAGAAGTTGTCCAAAGTGAGGATGAGTTCAGCCAGGTAGAGGACAGTGGTAATGGATAAGGACAGTTCAGGATTACTCTCAAGGAAGAAGGAGAAATCTTCAGACCATCTTAATGAGGGATTGTATGTCCATAGTGAAGAGGAGGCACCTGGCGCCAGCAAACTGGAAATTTTGAAATCAACATAAAGTGTCAGAAGAATTGTGAATGTAAGTAGGAGTGGTCTGGCCAAGGGGAGAGAAAAAAAATTGAGTCAAAGAATGAAGTAGTATGTTTCGTGGCGCAGGAAGAGGCTGAAATGATGCTATTACTTGGACAGCCCTGTTTGCGAATTCTGGGTAAAAGACAGAAGTGGGCTGTCTGGGTTTGGGGGACTGAGACAGGAAATTGTTTGGGTCAGCAGGTGGGAGGAAAGCGAGATTCCTTGAGTGAAATGAAGTTAGTGATGTCTGTGGAAACAATGTTTGATGGTGGGATCTTAATCGGGTTGAACGTAGAATAGTTGGTGGTCAACTGGAAATGTGCATAGAACTCTGCAGGAGCTGACCAACTGTTGTTACCCCTCAAAAGTTTACGTTAGATCACGTCAGCAATAATCCGAGCAAATATTGAAAGTGAGGTGAACATTTTGATGCGGGAGCAAATTATGGCAGAAGCTTGAATCTGTACTGAAAGCAACTCTGATGAAGTCATTTCGACTCAAAACGATAGCTTGCTTTCCTTCCATGTATGTTACCTGACCTGCTGAGATCTCCAACATTTTGATGTGGTTTTGTTTGAGGTTAATACTAATTTTTTTTTCAATCCTCCCAGTCACCGAGTGACTACTGTACTCAGAATTTGCAACATTTCTCTTCTTTGATGCAAATATTTCGATTTTAAACCATGAAAACTGACTCTCCAGTCCAACTCGTCCATACCGACCAGACATCCTATATAAATCTAGTCCCATTTGCCAACATTTTGCCCATACCCCTGTTAACCTTTCCCATTTGTATACCATCCAGATGCCTTTTAAATGTTGTAATTGGACATGGGGACAGTTCATCCCCGGGGGTAGAAATCCTGTTGCGAGGGCCCACAACTCACTGCATCTTCTGGATTTCGTCCTCGTCCACCTTCTGCTTCTTGTCCTTTTTGTCTCTGGCCGGCTCCACCCGCAGCCTCTTGGCCTGGTGGACGGCGTCTCCATCCTCATCGTCCTCATCCTCATCGGCACCGCCTTCCCGGGGCGCCGCCGGCTTCTTGTCCGTTTGGGCCTGTCTCCCACCCGCGGCCTCCGCTGCCGTCCCCTCTTCTTCCTCCTTCACTGCCACCGCCACCGCCGCCGCCGCCACCACCACCACTGCCGATTCTGCGCCGCTGGGCCCCGGCTGCTCGGCCGTACCGTCCGGGGGCGAAACTTCACCCTCCACCACTTCTCCGGCCTTAGGGGGCTCGGCCGGTACCGCCGCCGCTTTAAACTTCGCCTCCTGCTCCAAATCCATGGCGCTGGCCTCAGGGGACCTGCTGACGGGTCCGGGTGAGGCACAAACCGCTCGGAAATCGCGAATTCAAAACTGCGACTGATTTCGAGTCTAGACCCTTCTGCTGCTTGGCCTGCTGTGTTCATCCAGCTCTACGCCTTGTTATCTCAGATTCTCCAGCATCGGCAGTTCCTACTATCTCTGCGGCTGATCTCGGTCTGCGTTCAATAAAGATGTCCCAGGCCTGAAGCTGCCGCGGCCGCTCAGCCCGACTGATCCCCGGGTTCAGCTCCTTCCTCTGGCCGCAATGTTAGAGTTTTGTGGCTCCTCCTGTCAGTGGATCCTGCGACCTCCAGCTCCTGTCTCAGAAATTTTTCATTTCTGTTTAAGAATGGGTTGTACAGTCACAAAAACACATATTGCTCGGACTGAAATAAAAATAAAATACTGTATGTTGCAAATACCGGGGACGGGAAAGCAGTTATAACCTTCAATATCAATGAACATCAGACTGGTTGTGAGTTTTTATTTCAAGGTTTGCAGTAATTTGCCTAACTTAATATACCTCATGGTTGATAATTTAATGTTTCTGCAGCTTGAAACGTTTTAAAACTTCATTGGGTAGTGTTTGCGGGCACTATATCCTGAGCTTGAGGTATATCTCCACTTCTAGTATAGAAAAAAATATTAAAATGGGTTTCTTCATAGCTCTTAACCATGCGGGGTTATTGTGGTTCAATGCTGTTAATTCACAAATCCGCCTCCTCAGTGTTCGTCAGACCACTAAGACTGGTCAAGGAAGGTCTGTCGCTTGGGTTTTGTTGCTCTGAAGCTGCTGGTCAAGTAGAAAATTTATGTACGTTGGGTATTGCTGACGAGAGAAGGTACCTTCAAGATTTTAAGATAAGGAACTCTGGCGGGTAGTAAAATGCAGAACTGAGTTTAAAGCATAAGTCCTCAAAAGCCGTGGCGCTTGCATTGTTTAATTACTTTTTATATACAATAAAGTTTTTGTATTTGTTTAAAAATGTGAAACCTGATGGTTCAGTCAGTTAATTGCTGGGTGTTCGGATCTCTTAACCGTATCAGTCTCTGATAGGATCGTAAAGCAAAAGTAAAAAGAACACTCAAAAACAGATTCCACACAACAAAATGTACAATTATGGCCAGGGCTGAAAAACCACAGAGATCGCTTCGAGAGGAAAAAGAGAGGTTGACTTAGGGGCCGTCGCTCGATGATGCATGTGACTGAAAAATGGCAAACAAGCCATTGTGGCTATCACAAGACTGGTAAGTGTGACATAGCACGACAGCAGATCTCCTGATAGCAGTAGCTCCAAACGGAGAATAAGGCACTCTTGTAATCATAAACAGGTTTGCTAACCACTTTTACATGAAAATTGTGTTATCTAAAAATTGAGACTTAGGAATTAATTTGATCCTTTATAGGAGTGGTGAATCAGAAAACTTTAAATGGGAAACATGGATCACATGTAACAAAGCCTGATAACCTACACAAACACCTCACCCTCCTTTCAGAATGAATCCTTGTTATATTTTAGTTGCACAGTTGTTTCAAGGTTGGCTATTTGCAAAGAACATACAATCATTTTGATGATGAATTTCATCTGTGAAGCACAGGTACTAAGGCAGAGACAAGATTTTTGTTAGGAAATGGAATCCAAGTTTTTCAGGGTTAGGTCGGAATGTGGAATTAAAAGATCGGCCATCATCTTTGTTGAATGATGCAGCAGGTTCAAGGGGCCAAATGGCCTACTTAATGCACCTACTTTGTATGTTTGTACTACAGAAGAAATAATGGGCACTACTTCCATTTGCATTTGGAGAGCCAGCGTGTGCAGCAATAAAAGGTAAATTTCATACCCAAGCAGCAGCCACATGCAGTACATGCAATTACAAGATTAAAGCAGTTAAGATGTGCCCAAACTCAACATCAGGTGAATAATTTGAAGCTCTAGGCTGAGTGGAAAGAGGCCCATGGACAAACAGGCAGTCTCTGCCGGGAGTAAGTGGGTCAACTGCGGTCTAAAAATTGCAGATTTTAAATATATTACCAAAACTGTCCTTTCTCCTCCTTTCATGCTGTCATACTTCTGCCCTTATTGTGCCACTCTCACAACTTTTATTGCCTATTGGACCATAGAATCTCTGTGGATGCAGGTCATTCAGCCTATTGAGTCCACACCAATCTTCCCAAGAGCATTCTACCCAGACCCACATCCTTTTCCCTGTAACCCTGCATTTCCCATGGCTAATCCACCTAGCCTGCACATTCCCAGGCAATTTATCATGGCCAGTCCGTTGTTATTATCCTGCAGGCTACCACTATCCTCTCCATCAGTACTTACCATGCCACCAGTTTTCATGTCATCCCCAAACTTCCTGATCCCTTATATTTAAGTACAAATTATTAATGTACACCACAAACAGTAAGGGTCACAGCACTGAGCCCTGCAGAATTGCACTGGACACAGACGTCCAAACATAGAAACATCGCTTTGCTTCCTGCCTCTCGGTCAATTTTGAATCCACTGTGCTGCTTTGTCTTGGAATGCATAAGATCTTATTTTTTTAACTGATCTGCCATTTCAGCCTTGCTAAATTGCATGTAGACCACAGCAGATGGATTAGCCTCACCAACACTCCTGGTTATTTCCTCAAGACATTCAAAAAAATTGATCAAATTTGACTTTCCTTTAACAAATGGACGCTAATTTCTCTAATTAATGTGTGTCTCTCCAAATGCAGGTACATTCTGTCCCTCAGAATTCTTTCTTCTAACTTCCTCACACCCAAGACTGACTGGACAGTAATTTTCTGATCTATCTCCCTTTTTAAATAATGGGACAACATGAGTAGTCCTTCAGTTATCTGGCACATCACCTGCGGCTAGAGAGAATTTGAAAATCACTGCCAGGGCCCCTGACATCTCTCTTGCCTCCCTCGCTTTCTTACCAGCCTAGGATATATCCCAGCTGCACCTACAGTCTTATCCACTTCTACGTCTTCTAAACCTGCTAATTCTTCTTCTGTCTACATTAATTTATTTTGATATTTCACAGATCTCCATCCCGCTCTCTATATCTGTGTCATCCTATTCCAATGTGAAAACCAATGCAAAGTATTCATTGACGTCTGTGCTCATGTCTTTTGAGTCCACATACACATTACTTCTGTAATCCTTAAATGGGCACTACTTTTTCCCTCGTTATTCTTTGCCTCTTTATGTATTAAAAAAAACTTTGAGTTTTCTTTTATTCTACCTGTCAAATTCTCTCATCCATACGCAGAAGTGATGAGTAGTGGTAATGTCACAATGTAGTGGTAATCCAGTACCCAAGCCGTGGAAGATAGTGAGATTTGAATGTAATAAAGTCTGGATTATAATGGTGACATTGAAACCATTGTCAATTGTAATTTTTTTAAAAAATGAGTGGTCCACTAGTTTCCTTTTGAGAAGGGAGTCTCTCATCCTTACCTGGTCTGGTGTACATGTAACTCCAGGCTCAAAGCCATTCCTCTGAAATGGCCTAGCAAGTCACTCAGTTGTGGATCAATTAGCCATCGGCAATAAATGCTAACCTAACTAGTACTGTCTATATTCCATGAACAGATTAAAAACAAACTCTTTGCTTTCCTAATTTCTTTTCAAATTTGCCTCTGCATTTTTTTATTCTTCTCTCAGGTCACCCTTTGTCTTCAGGGGAACATATTTGCCTTGTATTTTTGGTATTTCCTCCTTGAATGCCTCCCACTGTTCTGACATAGTTTTATTGGCAAGTAGCTGCTTTTCTTCCACTTGGGCCAAAACGTGCCTTCGTAAAATTAGCCTTTCCCCAGTTTCAAACTTTAATTCTTGGCCCATCCTTATCCTTTCCTTAAGTAGCCACAATCTGAGTTACAGTCACTATCTCCCTGACTTCCTAAAGTCTGCTTGCAGGACCTCATTACTTTTTCTTCCTATGTCATTGGTTCCAATGTGGATCACAATGTCTGGCTCTTCACCCTGCCCATTCAGGATGCCCTGAAGCTTTTCTGTGGCATCTTGGACACTGGAACCCCAAAGGAAACATACCATCCTGGAGTCACATCTACAGCTGCAGAAGTGTCTGTTTACTTCCCTCAGTAATGAATTCCCAACACTATTGCCCTTGCAGTCTTCCTCCTCACCCCCCGAGCAACTAGACCACCCATTGTGCCATGGCTTTAGCATTGGCTGACATCCGCAGAGGAACCATCACTCCTACTGTTTTCCAAGGCCAAAAAATGGTTTGCAAGCAAGATTCACTCAGGGATTCCCTCCTGCCTGCCTGGTCCTCTTCTGTCTGCTGGTCACCCATTCCTTCTCTGCCTGCATTTCCTTAAAAAGACCACATCTTTAAAAACATCCACAAAACTCTCAGCCTCATAAATGGACTTGAGTGCCTCAAGCAGCCAAATCCAAAATCTGGAGCCTGTGTTCCTCCAGCTGGAGGCACCATGGTTTGCACATGGTCATCTAAACCATGGGTAACGTTTGGGATTTTTCACATAGAGCAGAAAATCATTGGGCTCCCCAAACATATCTGAGCTAAATAGAATATGGACTCTTGATTTTGTTTTATGCTAATTTTAAAGTATTCGATTATAGGCAAGCAGTTCCTGATTTCACACAAGATTAACCCTTAAAATCTAAAACTCTTCCCACTCTTTTCAACAAACTTGCAATGTTAGCATTCTGTACCAGAGCACTCCTGACTGCCTGTCACAAGGTGCTCATGCCATCCCCTGTTCTGGTGAAACTGAATACCTGTAATGAGGTCATCACCTTGCCACTCTGCTATTGTTGGGGACTGTTTTAACTCTAGTAATTTTGAACAATGGAAACTTCTTGAGCTAGCGGAAATAAGGGAAAAGTAATCATTTAATAGAGTTAAAGTAGAGAGAGCTGATTTCTGAGTGAAGTCGAAGAATTTCTACGTTTGTCCTATGCTTAATAGTACAAGAATAAGTTTAAAATAAATAAAAGTAACTAAAGTTAAAGGAGGTAAAATATAAGCTTAAAGCATGGCAAGATAGCTCTGCTAAATGGAATTCTTCTCCTGTGGGACGTGGAGAGTTGTAGACCCTTCTTGTGACCTTAGCCAAGTCCATCTGCAGAAAATGTCACTGGCTGCACATTCTTGAGTTTTGGGTTTCACAGCTCAAACAAGAGATGGAGTCACTCCAGTTCATCAGCAACATGAGGCAGAGAACTTCATGGATAGAACATTCAGAAATGTGGTCACACCACAAGTTAGGCAGGCAGATAGAGAATAGGTGACTGCCGTGAAGGGCAATACTGGATTGCCAATGCTTGTCTGGGTACACAGTAGTCTTTCAAAGATGGTGCAGGCACAAGGGGTGCCAGACTGTCAGTGGATATCCATTGAGTGGTGAGTTGTTCTGGGAATGGCAGTTGTGAGATGGGGTGGAATTGGATGTGAGAGATACCAGAAGAGCGGGGTGAATCATTAATGCAGCAAGTTTGGCAGGATACAGCGAGAAAACACGCCAGGCCTCGCGGTGGAAATCCCTCCAAAAACACGACACTACTTGAACTTAGCCAAAAGAATTTAAGATTCAGCTCACAATCTGTGCTCCTTAGTTAATAGGGTAAGTCCCTCACGTGAGTCAAAACCGTATCTGCTATGTATGTGATAAAATTTTGAATTTGAGCCATGAAATGTATTTTTATCATACTTGCCCTCTGAAACATACCCTGTGGCACGGTGGCTCAGTAGTTCGCGCTGCTGCCTCATAGCACCAGGGACCTGGGTTTGATTCCAGCCTCAGACAACTGTCTGTGTGGAGTTTGCACGTTCTCCCCATGTCTGCATGGGTTTCCTCCAGGTGCTCTGGTTTCCTCCCATAGTCCATGTGTAGGTTAGGTGGACTGGCCATGCTAAATTGCACATAGCATCCAGGGATGGATTAGCAATAGGAGACACAGGGTTACAGGGACAGGGTTGGGGGTTGAGTCTGGATGG